ATGAGATGCTTGAAGTCCTCTCACAATCTTAATTAACTAGTTGAACGAGCCCTTATTTTGGACCACATTTTGGTAGTAATGCTTGTCAAGGGAGAATGAGCTTTGAGAATCCATTTCCACCCTGGTCGCAGTGTAGTCCGGATTTGGGCACTACTTTCTTAGGAAACGGGCATGGTTTGAGTCCAAGGAAGGATCTCGCTTGGTCACCGTTTCCAGTGAAGTTGTAAAGCCTTCTTGAAAGTTCAAGGATAAAATTGACATTTAATCATAAAAAAAAATGATTTATAAGGTAGATTATATATTAAAAGTACAATTTACTCTATGAACCAATTATTTTTCATGTTATTTAATTAAGAGTATTTTAATAAAATTATAAAATAAATTACACTTTTAATATATAATCCAATTTGTATTACATGAATCTTTTTAACTATAAAGATATTCAAGTTAAAAAAAATTCATTTGCTATATCAATATCACTATATAATTAATTTTTAAATAAAAAATATTAAAAATTAATATTTTTATTTAAAAATTAGTAAAATTTATATTATAAATAAATAATAATATTCTTATTTATGCACTTTCTCAACTACTACAAAGAATAAATCCATGTTATTGATACAATAACATATCCACTAACAATGTAAAATTCACCTGATAAAACTATATTCAAGCCGCCTCCCACACCAATCCCTTTCCCATTTTCCCCTCCTCAAGTCCCTTAGCAGTAACAAATTACCGATAAAATAAATAAATAAATAAATAAATAAAACAAGAGTTTTTCTCTCTCCTCGATTTCCCCGCGCGTTTCTCTCTTCCTTTTCCTCTTCCTTTCTCCGTCTAGCGGGAAATGCCCTCACCGTCTGGAGAAAGGGCGGTGAAGGCGCTTTGGTCGCCTAGCGACTCTCTCAGAGTGCCTATTAGATCCCGTGGGCCAAGAAATTCCTGTAGATCATTCCTGACGTTTTTCAGCCTTCGTTTGATGCCGTGGGAGTTGGATCGTTGCTCCCGTGGCGTCGACTGGTGCCTCGAGGACAGGCTGTCGCCGTTTAGCGTCGGATGGGCTCAAGCATAACACCTCTGTTTGCGATCGATCTATCATTTTGAAGGTGGTAAAGATCCCTAACTCCCAATCTCCAACCAAATCTTCAGGTCGGCTTTGAAATTAGGTTCTTACATGTAAATTCCACGTTTTATTTTCTTATACATGATCATGCAAACAAGTACGATCTTGCATCTTTAGAGAAGGTTTTGAATCGAATAAAGCATGAAATTAGTGTTTCTGTAGAGACGGTTTGATTGTTATTTTTATGGCATATATGATAAAGCAGATTAATGAAACAATGCTGTTGACTTGTTTGATAGAATTGTTGTTGAATTTCATCCTAAAACTTAGGGTTAAATCGTGTACATCTGTTCTTGATGTGGGATTATGTAGAGCTCGTAGTGATTCACTGTCACTAGTCCTTGTACCTTCATTTATGCCTTCAAG